CCAAAAGGCAAGTTTCAAAAAAGGAAAGTAAGACAGTATTGAAACTTGGGCCCATTGGATTTGAGTCTGAAACGGCGCCTGATTTTGCGTTCCACTATATAAAAGGCCATAGGATTAGGCAGTGACAGGCGCAGAGACGCAGCCTTTAACAGCAATAATGAATAGGAAATTTCTTGAAGAAATCATGCGCACGTCATTTTACCAAATATAATTTAAGATATATCTTCAAATATTAAAAATAATAAAATTATAATAAATTAACGTAAAAAGTATTAAGTATCTTCTATTTTGCTTTGGGGAATTTAGTAAACTTAAAGGAGAAGAATACGTATATATATATATATATATATATAAAAAGTATTAAGTATCTTCTATTTTGCTTTGGGGAATTTAGTAAACTTAAAGGAGAAGAATACGTATATATATATATATATATATATGTAAGTATATTTTTAGGGAGCGTGATTGGTGTTTTTCTAAAGTTGCCAGTTTATATGTTTCTTCAAATTTAGAAGTTTGAGAGAAAGAACGTCATCTAACACATAATTTATAAATCAGTAGTTAGAATGAAATTTTCTTTAATAAAAACTATAAACAAAAATATTTATTTACAGAACCAAAAAAAAAAAAAAATTACTTTAATTAATTCTAAAATAGTTATTTCCTATATACATATATATATATATAAATAATTAGAGACGGGAACCATAAAAGTGATCCCATTACAGACTAAAAGTACAATGTACAGAAATTAATTATTATTAACTACATTTTCTTTTTGGGTAATTATAATTAATTCGTTCTTAATCAATTTGTGTCTATAACTAGAAAGTGAAATAGAGACATCCCATCTAATTATTCCTTTTCTTTTTTTTAAATAAAAGCATATCATATACTAAAATATATATATATATATAAATTATATTAATGGGTCTGCCTATTTACTTTTACTTTAAAATATAGATATATTAGAAAAATAATATAATTTTAAAGAAGACCCAACTGTATTTATGAACAACTCTTCTAATTACTTGTAAATAAGACATAAATTATAGTGCACTCCAACTCTTGCATAAATCAAGTAACGCTTCTGTTTTTTAGGCTTTTGTGGGTGGTCTTTATGTGAAGCTTAATTATTAGAAATTCAAACCATGTAAATTTTGCCCATACATGTATATATATATATATAATGTTATACGTATAGACAGTGGACAACATGATCAATGCATAACATGCCGATCGTGATCATGATTCTTTTTTTTTGGAAGTCAACAATGCATAATTGGTCCATATATTGTCAAAATTTGGAGTCACATATTCACATTTAAGATGCATTCCTTTTTCCCAACTGTTTTTAAAGTGACAAATTAATTTTTTAATTTTAATTACTATTCAATATATATATATATATATATGTATATACAAACTCATATAATTGATTAAACAAATCCCAAGTATATGAGGGAAAATTTTTATTATAATTAAATTAATTTAAATCAAATATAAAATTATTATTCATGCTGACTCTATAAATTTGATCTGAAATCATATAAACATAATGTGGACAAAACTTTGTCAATCCCATTATTACGTAAAAGATTTAGTGTCTGTGTGTGTGTATAGAAAACTTATTCATTTTCTTATTAACTTTTTACGTATGTGTAATCTCTACTTTTTCTACCCACACTGAAGCGCACTTCCTCTGTGTGTGTGTGTGTGTGTACATATATATTAAGCAAGAATGTGCTATGTGGGTGCGCATACTATATATAGACCTACACATTTGCGTGACTGTATGTATATATTTGCATAAATAATTATATAAAAAAGCACTTACAACAAGAACTCCATGTTGAATCAAGACGGGCGGCCTTTTAGTCCCACCACCACCTCCACGACCCTCTGGTATTCTCTGCATATTCAGTATGTACCCATCTTGCGTTGTCACCTGAAAAATTCAACCAATGTTCACATACATATATATATATATATACACACACATACAGAAACATATATATATATATATATAGAGAGAGAGAGAGAGAGAGAGAGAGATTTACTTCAAGCTCCTGGCATTTATATCCATGTATAATTACAGAAGAAGCGCATATGCCATTCCCGGCGCCTGCTACAACCACCTTTCTCCGATCAAATGAGCCTCGACTCGAGCCATGAGCCCATTGAGGGAGGACTATAAGGCCAATTATCAGGACTACCCAGAAGCTAGCCTTACCACCAAGGGCCATATATATATATGTGTGTGTCCGAGTGTGAACTGAAAGCTCTGGCTAATTCGGATTTGTTTTGAGAGAGAAAATGGAGAGACAGTTTGAAGATGGTCGTATATATTCTCTAATAGACACAATTATAAAGGAACAAGACAAGGCCGCTTTATATAATGGGAAAGATGGGAGTGCATACATATATAATATGTATATATGTATATCCTCTTCTTCTTCCTTCCTTTCTTTCTTTATGGGTCTCCAACTGAAAGACCACTAAAAGCAATATTTCCAAAAAGAGAGAATGGGGGGAAGTGGGTCCCACTTCAAAATTCCATCTCGATCACAGCCTTCGTATGTATATCTCTATCTCTCTCTCTGTATACATATACGTATAGGTCTAAATATAGGTATTATGAAAAACAGAAAGGTGTTTGGATATGAACTCTGTTTTAACGAAGGTTACTCCAGAGACGAATAAATGGAGGAGATAAGGAGGAGGAGGAGGAAGAAGATGACGATGATGGGGGTTTTAAGCTTTACGTGTTTAAGAATGGAAAATGTGGGACCCACATTACATCATGTGTTGGCTTCTCCTTTTGTCTCATTTTTTTTTCCTCCCTTAATTATAATTATTACATTTATTAATTACAAATTTACATACATAATAATGTTATAATTTCTTAACAAAAACGTAATTAATGTAATCTCTCTCTTTTTGCTTATAAAAACTTAATATTTAGAAGAAGCATAATGCTTGAAGTTTCATACTTAGTAACCATATTTTTAAAGGGTGTTTAAGGTAAAGAGAATAACAAAGTCATTCTATTTGCATTATATTCACAATTGTATTTAACAAAATTAAAATAATCATAAAAAAAATCATTCTCGAAATAGATGATATCGTTGCAGTTTAAATCCTATATTAGTTTACTAATTCTGACCTAATTAAAGATATAAAAACTTAGTTAGTTAGAAATTAAAATGTTATGATTAAGCATATTTACTTAGAAGTAAATCGTTGTACTGATCATTTGACTAATCAAATTTTCTCATCTATCTTCAACTATTATTTTCGAAGTCTATTATCTGCAAAACTTAATAAACATTATTAAGAACGATCTCATTGATATTCTTATATATGTATGTGATATAAGTGCATTCACATTCAAACTCTCAATTCCATTAATGCACTTAAATTCACATCTTATTTGTTATTGAATTTGATTTAAGCCGATATTCCCACATCAAATAAATATTGTAAATTTTCATTAAAAAAATTCTAAATTTATTGTTTGTTATCATGATTTTTCTTGCAGAAAATGTTAATTGTTAATTTTAAATAATAAAAAACTATATTATTTTATTTAATTCCAATAAAATATTAAATATGAAAATATTATTCCTTTTTTTTAAAAAAAAAAAAAGAGAGAGAGAGAGAGAGAGAAGTAATGGAGGTTTGACCAAAATGGAACCTTTCACGTGGATGATAACTCTCAAACCCACATTTCACTTCTCTATTATCTTTATACTAAATAAATAAATAATAAAATAAATTTGAATTTTATTAAAAATATAAAATTTACTATTTTTTAAATATATCACAAATAAAATGAATTTCCTAATTTATAATATTTGATTAAAATTTATGTTAATTAAGTTAAATTTACTCTCAACGAATATTTTGAAATAATTAAATTTTGTTAATTAAAATATTTACAAAAAGTTAAAAACTCAAGTTGGTATTTATTTATTTTTTAAAAAAAAAAGTAAATGCAGTTTCCTTTTTAATGTGTATAAGCATGTGAATGCACATAAAAATATGTGTATATATATATATATATATATATAATGACAAATATCTTCTATTTAGTGGGTATTTGGAATTTTTTTACTTTGTGATTCTAATTTATTATAAGTAGCTTTGAATTAAATACACAAATATAGTTTAATGGGCCTAACAACATATTGAATCCACATGGCCTTTTAGCCATATAACCACACACACACACACACACACATATAAAGTTATAAACTTTGATGTTACAAGAAATTTCTCCTTATTTGACATTAAATCATTAACTATGCTTTTAATTAAATAAATTAATTATTAATAACATTTAATTCGGATTATCAACGTTCTTAGTGTAAATAAAAATGAATTTATTAATTACATAAAAGTTATAAAACACAAAAAAAAAATAAGTATAATAAAATTTACATTTTTAATTCTCTTGGAGATATTGAATATATTTTAGAAAACTTGGATAAATATGTTAAAAACTCTGGCTTACAATATCACCGCCCAAAATAAAAATATACACCGTGCAATCCAACTTTTCTTAGCAAAATATTTATATACCATGTTCACTACGAGAGGGCCATTTACAGTTTTACCCTTGTCCTTCTCCTTTTATTACAGAAACTACCTATTCAAGTATTGATGTCTTAAGCAAAGAACACTCGGAGCCTGTGTAACTTCACATTGAGGAGGATTTAGCCAGACATAAAATCCTCAGAATACCTCATAATCCAGACTCCATTGACCTCCACGGCCCCGAACCCACGGACAGGGTAAGAAACCTCGAGGTCCCGCATTTGAAATGTCTTAGTTTAATTTATGATCTTGAAGAAAAGTCTGAGTCTCAGTCCCGGGCTTTTCTTCCGCCTACCAAGTACTACATTTTACTTGAAAACTAAGCTTTCTCATTTACAGCTATAGCAGGACTCATCTTCTTCTTCCTCTCGCTAAAACTATGGCATGAAACCAAGCTTGGGAGGCAACACTGCACGGATTTCATAGGTTTGTCCTTCTCCATTAGAGGATCTCCATTGGCCGTCCTTTCGCTACTACAAAATGAGTTAGTTCCTGAGACAGAAGGGGTGACATAAGCTGATTTTGGAGGTAGATCAACATCTTGGTCCTCTCTAATACTCTCTCGAAACAGCTCAACGAGCTTCTTTTTTGTCGGTGATGGCTCGGGAGTTGAACCAGGAGGCCTGCCATCAAAATGAGGCTTGTTGATCTTAGGGGTGGTTATGGAGGAGTTTTGATGGCCTGGAGTGGCATTATTGACTTTAGGAGTAGCTGCAGAGAAGCTTTGATTGATTGGAGTGCCATTGATTCGTGGGGTCCCAGCGGAGATGATTTGGTGAACCGGAGTGTTGCCACGAGAAGGGGTAAAATCTGGATAAGAAGTAACAAGCACCGCAAATATTGTGAGGCAACGCCATTGATAGAAAAGTTGAAACAAGCCATAAGCCATAAGTCTCATTAGTCTCATTTCTAGATGATTAATGTGCTTCAACATTCTTTGCCTGCTATAAACATATAATTGAGCTGGGCTAACAAGAATCGGAAAGTCATAGCAATCAATAATTAGTTTCGAGGTACTGACATTGGAGTTATATATATATATATAACTCCACCTTCACAGAGATTAACAAAAAAAAGAAAAACAATAGCAACCACAAAATGCAAGGAACATAAGTTTTGAACCCTCTTGGGCTATGCAATCAATCAATATTTTGACTCTAGAATCATGCTCTGTAAACTCAATACTCCAAACTCCCCAAAAGAGATTCAAGCTAAAGGGAGAAATAGGGATATTTCCTTTTCTTAAAGAAAATGAGAAATCATGTCTCGGTAAAAGTACTTTGAATACAAGCA